TATACAGATAATAAAGTATTCACAAGATCTGTCTCTTATACACATCTAGCTGTGTATAAGAGACAGGGAGTTAAAGTGTCCTATATACAGAGATGTTGGATGCAAGTTTTCAGAGGATAAAATGGTTGACAACTTTTCAAGAGGCTTTCTATTGACATGGCTGTTCACTTGCTGTTTGTGGATACCACACATAACAGGTAATATCATACGGTATCTTGTTTCATTAATAATGGAGTGCAATGAAAGTTACGTTTACAATATTGGTGTTCCGCAATTACGGTGCCATAAATTAGTCATCAAAAACCATCTGACCTGAATATAGTCAAAGTGTTGTATGCACAAATTATGTTTTATTTAGCCGAATTTCAAATTTTGTTTGCACCACCCCCCCCCCCCTTTCGGTGACCTCGAAAAATGTAATAGGCCTACATGTTACATGTAGTAGGCTACTCTCGTAAAACATATAGGCCTAGGCCTACTTTCTATTTCAAGCTAAACTTTCAGATGTCATCCAACGTCTAGCCGTCTGCTAATTCCAAAAAAAAATCAAATGGAAGGGGATGCCTCTTCCTAAACCCATAATCAATGAGGGACAGGGGACACGTCCCCAGATATTGTTATGGGGCGGAGATTGATCCCTCCCTTTTCGTCCGCAATGTAATAATTTCTTAAGTCAAGAAGATGCCTGGAAATTATAATACACGACTCTTGTGCGCGTGATTATAATTTTAGAAGTATGAGAAAAAGCGTGTAATAAATAATAAGATTGGTTTTTCTGCACATGGTAAAGTAAATTAAATATACATCAAAGACAATTGAGTTTCATTTTTAATGAAACATCACAGCAATTAATTTCAATGATGATGAAGCATTTGATTATATAAGAGTGTCATTTCCGGTAATGTAGAGGTACTATTTCCCAAAATGTTCCCACTTCATCCCTTGCGTGGACTAGGCGTTGAAGTAGGTAGGCCTAAATTAAGTACATCAAAGACAATGTTTTTAATATTTATTTTCTATAATACATCGCACATATTAATTAGATATCTATGGTTGTCGAAAATCGCTAGTAAAATATCATGAGAAATTTGTTGGCGCTTCATTTTGACTATATAATGGTAATGATGACGATGAATTTTACTATATAGAAGTGTCATTTGCGGTCATCTCTATTTCCTAAAATGTTCGCACCTCACATGCCAACCATGGTGGGCCTAAGGTGGGTTTGGGCTCACGAAATTCCCCCTCACATTTCGAAACAAATCTGCGCTTCGCAAATCGCATTATCCATCCCCATTGCTAAATCCTAGCTCTGCCATTGATTATTTTATTTTATGTATTATTTCCCATTTGTACCTACTACTAAGATCACCATTTGATAGGCTGAGGTGAGCAAACTTGAGGGTATCAAGCATAGAGGACAAGGAATTTGTGGTTCTGACAATATTAAAGTTTTGAATAAATATGTGAATTATAGAATGATAGAAATCGTCTGTAATAGCAAAAAACAAAAACAAAAACAAAAACAAAAAACAAAACAAAACAAAAACAAAAAAAACCCCTAATTTTTGCCATATATGCCTTTCGTCTATATACAGATAATAAAGTATTCACAAGATAGTTAATCTCTAATTTTGGCCATTTAATTACAACTCAAAGCATTTAGATGGTCTTTTATTGAATTGAATTGTAATTTGGATATTTTATGCACTGTATGATATGTTAAATATTTTGTCTTGTAATTTAATTTGTATGTATATTTTGTGTATTCCCAGCTCAGGAAAACAAATTTCATGTATTGTACTTGATGTATATACAGTAAATAGAATTTTGAATCTTTAATAGCAGTGAAATACGCGTACTGAAAATGACACATGGTGGTGATTTATTGATATACTGTATGTTATTGATATGCATTTTTATGTCGTGTTGTGTATTAGATTTTAAAAAATCTTTAAATCCTTCAATTGTTATTTGCGTGCGTGACTCACGTTACACTGAGCCATATCATTATACTTGGCCCTATTCTTCCCCAGGTGAAACATACGTATGTGACTTTGAAACAGATCAATGTGGGTTTACTAAAGAGGCTGAGCCCGCTCAGTGGATTCGAAATTACGGACCGTCATGGTTAAGGAGTACAGTGGGTTTGTCGGGACCTGCTACTGACCACACGGAAGGAGCAAGTAAGGATAGAATCAAAATCCTAAAAAAATAACTTTAAAAAAAAAGTATCTCAAGCTTCATAAAATTGCATTGTAGTTTATAGAGTCACGTTTTTTAGTCTTTTTGGGTGTGAATGTTTTCAAAATGTGAAGTGGGTGTGGGATCATCGGTCTATGTAGTAAATGTGACTAGTATTTTTTAAAGTAGGCCTATTATCGCATTCATGTTCTCTTAAAAATATTCTTTAGCTACCGGTTTCTACATGGTGTTGTTGAACCTCCCGAACAAGGTGTACAGCCCCGGGGACAAAGCGCGCCTTATATCCAGTTGCTACCCAGCAAGTAGATCAGTGGACGTAACGTTTTACTACCACATGTACGGAGATGGAATCGGACAATTGAACGTCTTTCTCGTTGATTGCACTTTGGTATCACCGCCCGGCCTTTCGGTAATTAGTATCACAGGTGACCAAGGGGATGAATGGAAGTTAGCCGGTTTTTCACAAGCGAATGTTGGAGAATTTAAGGTACATTAAAATGAATGGTCCCGTTAGTTTTAAAACTTAGGCAGGCCTATTTTATCAGAAACTAAATTTGTAATCGTATTGTATCAAAATCATCAATTGATTGAAGGTTATTGCCATTATTTACAGATCGTTTTTGAAGCAATTCGAGGAGAAACTAATAACAGTGATATTGCTATTGATGATATCACGGTGAAAAGTAAGTACTACAACCCAATTTGGACCATTTATTAATATTTACTAAGACACTGTCTTTACTGTGTCTGATGCACGATACACGATATTGACACCTGGTTTTTTCTCTTTTAATATTTTTACAGGGACAGAACCAGAATCAAATACAGGTAAAGCACAAATATGAAGCTTTAATACATCACTGACTGCCAATGACGGTTTTTTATCATTGTTACTGTTATTCAAACAAAGTTTTCGGCTGCATTTTTTAACTTGGATTTTAAGAATCTTAATATATTCAGAAAGAAATACGGCCTAAATAAAATTAATAAAAATGTTAACAAAATTGTATTTAAGTAAATAGGCTTATAAACAGGCTTTTAAAATTTAGTTTGGTTAGACAATTGGTCTAGTGTCGATCCTATTTCGGATAGACTGTCAAACAGAAGGGGAATTGTTAAATTATTGTCGTTAGGTTTGTTGTGATGTGACATTGTATTGTAATTTTGTGCATTTTATTGGTAGGCCTATAATATAAAATTTACATTGAGTTGAATTCAATTGTAATTCATTTAAGTCACTTTATGTTTAATTTTACAGATCCACAAGAATATCTTGACGAGGGTATGTACTTAGGCCTATATATTCTGAATTAAAGACACTTCGTTTCGTTTTTTTTTTTACTGTAGAAACGGGTGTACGATATTTGTAATCGTAAGCCAAGTTCAACAGCACCCTCTACGCTTAAAATAAGTTTGTACTTTTTTTATACAGCCAACATAGTGTGTACTTTCGAATCAGATTCGTGTGGATATCAACAAGATCAAACAGATGATACAGATATGATATACCATTTTGGGACCTCGTGGCTTCGACAATTGGACGGGTCAACAGGGCCGACAGGTGACCATACAAATGGAATTCGTGAGTAGTACGATTATGATGAAGACATATTTTCTGCAAGAAATGTTGTTGTCTTATAATGTCTATTATTATGCTTTGTATTTATTTGTATATATTATATATTCAGTAGAGAGACTACATACAGAATTAAACAAAATTACCATAAATATTTCATGACCACGAACATTAAAATAATTTTATTCAAGATTGCAACTGTGACTAACTATTAACCAAGCAAAAACACAACGTTTATTATAACTTTTGCATGACCTTCCATGCAAACTTTAGTGACCAAAATGTGTATATTTTAAAAGCAATATAAAATGTATATGTATGTTAATTTTGTGAGAAAAATGTGTTCATTCATTTATTATTTTAGAGAACAACTTTTACATGATATTAATGAATATTCCCGGAACGTTGGACCTACAACCAGGAGACACAGCACGTCTTGTGTCGCCGTGCTACAGCATTTCTAACTGGGTGCGAATTCTATTCTTCTACCACATGTATGGAGAAGGAATGGGAACTTTAAACGTCTATTCGTCTGATTGTGAGTTACTTTCTGAGAAACAAATATTTTTTAGCGTATCTGGTAACCAAGGTGATGAATGGAAGGAAGGTAACAATGTCATAAAAGCTGGTGATAGTGTCCAGGTCAGTATTCCAAAAAGACCTAAATACTATAAATTATAATGGACAGCGCCTTTTATAAAGTTTCAACCTGTGGAGTAAAACCCGTTTTAGCTACAATGCAATTCGTGACGCATACCGTATTAATTAGGGACTTTTCGCAAGCTTAAGAAAACGATAACGAATACGTTTACGTCATCAAATTTTTAGACAACCCTTCTCCTACCGTAGCATACCTTTCACAACGTAGGCGATTCATGCTTTTACATTAATCAAGCATCATATTTAGTACAGCGTATTGTCAAGAATGTTTTACTTACGAATGACGATAATGATAATGACGTGTTCGTAATTCGTTATCGTTTTCGTAAGTTTGAAAACTCTCCCTTATTGAAACATGATGACGTGTAGACCTAATTTAAAAAAAGAATTCTATTTTTATTTATTATTCCTGATGATACTAAAATAAAAGTGAGCCTTAGAATGAAATGGCCATGTCAATTTTGGGGAGCATATTCAAACTATTTCTATTCTTATTTGGTTTTTAATCATTTCAGATCATATTTGAGACGGTACGCGGCTCAGAGCAGACGAGCGATATTGCTATAGATGATATTGCCCTCTTCGGTACGTTGGCCTTCAACCATTTCGATACTACATTAACTGCTTTTATAAAACATGAAATCGCCCAGTTATAAATAAATGACACTTCCATGATATCCATAATGCTTAATCATTTATTTTTGGGTCTTAAAATAAATCATAAAATCATACCTTTATATTTAGTTAAAAAACAGAATGAATTATGTTTTTGAACTTATTAGAGGAGGAATTCCTTCATGATAGAACTTATTCATGCCAAAAGTCCACTTTACATTTATTACTATAATTTTACCAGATCTATATACTTTTTCTCTTGTATCTAGCTCTTGATGATGAAGATATAACTACCACCACAGGTAAATACTAAATGTTATTGTTTTTTTACCTAAATTATAAGCCATAAGGCCTATTAATAATTCAGATTCAGATTTATTTTGTCTTTGCGGAAATTCATTTTAGGCAACAATCGCATACAATAAAATACTTATCGGATCAATCAACCATTTTTACCATGTTGTTTAAAAGACAATTAAGGAGTATCGTATCGTATCGTAAATAATAGTAGGCCTATTAACAAAAAGAGAGCAACAAATACTGAACATTATACAAACAATTGCAGAGATAAGACCATTATGAGCTCTCACTAGCTAGAGCCAGGGGCCCAGGGCCTCAAGGGACCTCCAGCAAATTATTTTTTTTTAAACAAACGAATATTGTAATATGTTTATCTAGAGTGATATCTATCATTAAGTATGCTTTTTTTGTAAAATCACGATACATAAACTTAGAATTCGAATGTGTAAAAAAGGCATTAAAATACGTCATAAAATGCTAAAAATAATGTAATAGATGTATAAACGATTGAAAATTAACTAGTTTTACAAAAAAGTAAATTAATTTTCAAATGCATTGCCAACAAGATATCGTTTTTCATTATTACATAATTGTTTTCCATTTCTCTATAGAAGAAGTGATAACAACTAAAACTGAAGGTAAGTTCATGTTTGTACACAACAAGGCCTAATACCATTTTTATATGTATTTAATACTTCAATATCTATGCGTTTTCGAGTTATGATCGTATTAATAAATTGTTAAGGAGTTGTGGTTTGATGGCTAAGATGCCTGTCTTCCAATCCCGGGCCTGGGTGGGTTCAAAACTCTCAGGACCAAAAACAATCATCTCTGTAAGCCTCATAAGGAGACATAGTTTGAGAGCATCATGTGTACTGTTATGTCTTGTGGAAATTAAGATGATATTCTAGGCAGGGAGGCTTGGTTGCTAGATTTGCTGATTCTGTCTGCAAGCTACCAACTGACTTCGGGATTTTGACAACCCCCCCCCCCCCCGAGTCTAAACAGTTTATCTTTTTCTTTCCTGTTTTATTAATCCTATGTTGTTATGTTGTAATGATAACAGAGGCAACTAGGCAAGAAGAAGAAAAAAATGTGTCTTGTTTCAGGGCCCCAAATGACCAACTGACTTGTCACTGTCACATGTTAATTTAAAGAAGCTTTTAAAATTGAATTCATTTTGTTTATTTTAGCGCCCACTACACCTGAACCAATCCAGACCACTGTCCCAGCAGCAACAACAGTAGGTAAGAAAATAATAGGAAAAGTTACTTTCTACAATATTAAACTTATTATCAAAGTCCCGTTTGTAGTGAAAATATTGAATTGCTCATTAAAAGGATAACATCCTTTAAATATCCTTAAAAGTTGTCAAATGCAAAAGTTAGGAATAATATCGTAGAAAATGTTGTTTTTAAAGCTAATAACCTTTATAAATCTATAAGAAATTAAAGTAGGTATAGCCTATGGAATTATATATATATCGAGCATACAGCTCGATTTATCTTTAAGTTGTTGCAGCGTATATTTTAGATTTTAATTTTACCGATCGTCATTTCAGAGCAAATTACAACGCAGGCCAATGTGGTCACCACTCTGGAAGAGATACAACAATCCACAAGTCCTACAGGTAAATTAGTCCACCAATTTTAGTGCTGTTTTGAAGTTCGTCAAACTGGTAAAAAAGCTTAATCTCTCAGTTTATTTGTATAGGGTTATGACAAGACAATTCATGGCAACGTAATGAGTATCTGTATCACAAATACTAAATAGATTGGCATAACCATCTGTGACATAACATTAACAATCATTATTATGGAATCATTATTAATAACGCGTGTGAAAATGAATCATGTGGTCTATATTTTCATTTCAGTCATTTTCATTTCATTTTATTCAATATCAAAGTCGCAGTCCAGGACTGAATTAAATGATACAATAATACAGAACAGTAATATTCGAACATCAAAGGAGAGTAATATAAAAACATCAAAGTAATATTTATTAATTAACAATAGACATACTGCACAGACATTCAGAAAACGATTAAAACATTAAAAATTGTATTAAATATTAGATCAGTAAAATAAGATTTTTTTTAAAAGCCATGATATACAAGGCTTCCAATAATTCAAGAAAGTGTTCCATGGTGTTGGCTTGGCTTGATTCACGAAATAATAATTAAAAGAAGCATTTATGTAATCTGAAATATGTATTTAAAACGAAAAAAATTAATTGTGTATAATACTTAATTTGTTTTTGCAATTTGCAAATAGTACGGATTACGGAAAATGTCGTCGATCCATGTAATCCCAATCCTTGTCAAAATGAGGGGGAATGCACAACTGACAATGCTGCCTACCAATGCTTATGTTTGCCCCAGTGGACGGGTGATAACTGTGACGTACAAAGTAAGAATTCATTACATTAATGACAACTTTTGTTTTTTTTTTATAATACAATTATATATGATACAATTATATATTGTTTGTCATATACCTTTTTACATGTGTATTGATAACTATGTTTTAATGTGTACGGCGCTCAGGTCTCTTTTGGAAGGGCGCCTAATTATTATTATTATTATTATTATTATTATTATTATTATTAACTCATAGATTAGACTTAATTTTAGTTTTTGCATACCTTGCTGACAAACTTACTAAGAAAATATTCAAAGCGCCCTCTATCATCATCAAAACTTGGGAAAAACTTTTTTTTTGCTTTTGCAGAAGCTGAACGCGCTGCTGATGATAATTCTGGCTTTACGACTATTAACGTGGTTGCTATTGTTATCGCCTGTATTGCGGTTATTATATTACTTGGTTGTTTCGTTATTTTCGGCTACAAACGAGGGCGCACGGATGAGTCAAAGCCTAAGTATCAGACACCATCATACGCGCACGCAAGAGCGTTACAAGAGCAGCTGTATCAGAAGCAGATTCACCTCCCAAGAACAAATCAAACATATCGGCAAAAACAACAACTTATTGAAGAAGAAAACGAAAGAAAATTGGAAGAACAACGCAGACGGAAGGAAGAAGAGCGGTTAAAGCAGCAACAACATCAAAAACAACAGCAGCAACAGGAACAAAACCGCGAAGAAGAAGAAAGACAACGTGCAATTCAACAGCAAATATCATTAGATAGTATTGAGACGAATGACGCAACAACGATCATCCGTCCACCACTCCGAAAGCAGCAATCGACTGGCAGAAAACTTCCCAAGCTTCCCAACTCACAAAACTTTGTGTAAATCCGAGGCATAACGCTTGTCTGTTAAAAAAAATATATATCGCAATGTAAAGCACTAATACTGGATTCTAGACCAATCACAAGAATGTGAAGTAAGACTTCAGTGTTTTAGAACAGACAATACTTAATTAATACACAATTTTATGGAAATCAAGCTTAATAGTGAATATAGAAATATAAATTAAGAAGTTGTAGAAGCTGCACTACACGCAGTTGTAAGAAATTATACTTCTATCTAAACGCATGACATCTTTGCTATAAATTATTTCTCCACCATTATATGTGTTTATTTAAATAATTTATTTTTTATTCAAAACCATGTTGTCATCCTACATTCTTTTATAAACTTTGTACTTCCAACGTATTTAGGATAATATATATAGAACGTTTTTGAATAATTCTCTTTATGTACAGTACCGTACTTGATACGTTTTTATACTTACACATTTTGTCACGCTGGACTTGTGGTTGCAATATTGAGTTTTTTTTTTAGTTGTTTAGGCTCCACAATATTGATGATTGTGATTGAACTCCATAGTGTAATAATAAATATGCGAAGCTGATCACTATATCGATTATGTAAACTTACTAGGCTTATGGTGGGGGGGGGGGTGGTAAAGTTATTTTTATTGTAGAAAATATCCTGAAAGTTTGCCAGGATTGGAAAACAAAGAATCATCAACCACTAGCTATTTATCCAACTTGTTCTAGGCCTATTATCTGAAGGCCTCAGTATTATCTGAAACCATCTTTGTAGCATCGCGTTGCTTCGAAACATAAATTTATAACACAAAATTATAGTATGGCTATTTAAACAAAAAAAAATTTAAAACTTGCCATATCAAAGTGCCGAAGGCAACTTATGAATTATTATGATAGTTGTGTTTGTATTGTTCAAAACACTCTCTGATATGGAAAATATATCACCAATGAGGATTATGAAAGTAATTAGTCTGGATTAGGATAGTCGTGCATTGTTATATTCTTGTTTGCTCCCCCACCTCATTAGCATAAAGGAAAACACGTTTCGTTTGTCATAGCCATGCGATGTTATTATAAATAACATAGCTCTCCAGTTCTACTATAAAAAATGTAATTGAGTGACGATTGGAACTTTCACGTCTTCACCTTATGTCTAAAAACCATTAATTTCGTCAGTACCATGGAGTTTAAGGTACGGTTCTAATTGGTTTGTTCTGAATATTAACGTTTTGAAAGCCAGACAGTTATATCACATATCCTAACTTCGGAAAGTTTGTGTCGTTAATTAGGACGTAATGGGCCGCGGGCCTAATATTTTTTTTTTATTAGTGGCTATATTTGTATATAATTATGGTCGAGTGGATTTCGATTCTCCTTCATTTCGGCATCCTAGGGCTAATATTCACAGTTCGACCCAAAGGTGTAAGAAAGTGGACCCGGGTCAGGTACCTACGGACACCGCCCACCACCTTTTTAATAGAAAATTCAGCGTGAACGTACGGTGCGTACAGAGAAAGCAGTCACTAGGAGCCACATCGCCGTACTTATTTTATATGATCTGTGCACGTTAACTTCGAAAAGCTATTTCGAATACACGTCGTCAGTAATCATGAAGCTGCAGTAAAATGTAAAGCTCCATGGGCCAATATAGACCTCCTCATCATCAGTTTTTTTTTCGACTACCGGTAGCTAAATTGAGGCGCTTTCTCATTTAGGTTCCCTATTTTATTAATATTCAGTCATAATAGTACAATCATGGTACTATTAATCATCTATTTATTCTTGTATACCCATATGTGAATAAAAGACTATTATCTTAAAATACAGAGAAATATAGGTCTACGTTCAAACATTCATTTAGAAATCTTCAGTTATTTGTAACCCCTTTTTAGGCTTATAATTGCTTGTAACTGTTGTTTCTGCAGCATGGCTTTGCTTATTTTTACTTAGAAAATGTTATTTGGTCAAGGTTACGATACTTTACATTCAAGTTTGGCACACGTCACGGTCAATAAAATGTCATTTTAAAACAAACATCATTCCTCCATGCTCAGACTCAGACATCGCGATTAATAGTCGTTGAAACATTGTATGCTTGTTGTATTGTAAGCCTAATACGTTAGTGCTCAAAATATTTAGTTCAAATATAGCAGGTACTAGAAAACAAATTTATATTATGGGCCGATTCCCAGTCGACCAGGGGGTCACCGGGATTAGATGCACGTGCAGGACGACAGCTGATATTAAGATTGTTCCAAGGATATTTCCCTAGAGTGGTGGCCGGATACCCTGGAAATTGGCAGCGATAATTTCCGTAAGATTATAATGGATGCTTCTACTATTCAGTTGATCCTTCAAGTCAAGTCACGTGAACAATGTACGGCTACTGAGCTACTGTATATTTAAGTTTTATAGATGTCTAAAGGCTTAGCGGTATAATAGGCCTATATAAAGAGAGTAGGGCATTTGCCCCTCCATCGGTCAGACAGGCCTGGACCCCTGTCGTCCGACGTACGGCTAGGTCACACGATCAAAAATTGAAAAAATATATATATTTTTCCTATCCAAATAGCGTTATTTCGACTGCCAATCCTTAATAGGCCTATTGTGGTTTAAAAGCACCTTTTGGACCATATTAAGCCATACACTTCCAGTGAACCCTAAAAGCGACTACATGGTTATTATGAAATCATATTAAGGAATGGATTTTGGTAACCACTGTAACGCAATAAATCTCAAGAAAGCACATTATATGTTTGTTTTGCATTGGTTGCTGTGCTTCCTGATCTTCATTCGATCTTCGCAACAAGTGTGCTAACATATCATTCTGTACTAAACCTAGCTTGTCTGGTACGAATTGTTCTTGAATACTGTACAGTGAAAAAGTAAGCCTAACCATATCTGTATTTAGTCACTAACGTAATGAATATCATCAATACAACCATTAAAATTAATGATTGTTTATGTATTCTCTTAATTGTCGCTTTAATTCATCCAAAGCATTTAAAATGCCACGATGTGCTGGCATTCAACACTTATTTCTATGTGCCTGAATTGAATCTGCTAGGCCCTAAGTTTAAAGCAAATTAACTTTTGTGACCTAATATAAATTGCCCACTACCTGAACCCAAGACATAACCAAAAACACAAGTTACACACGGCGTGAAGAAAGGCTCCAGGAAAACTAGTTCAATATTTGCACGCGTTTTATGCTACAGGTGCTAGTCGCATCACTTCTGTACGTATATCACATTTAGGACGCAAGAGGATTGCGGTAGTGAAGTCAAAATGGTCTTAGAGAAAAAACGCTTTAAAAAAATAATTTTTAATAGTGTAGGCTTCTTACACTTCAGTGTTTTCCTCTTCTTTTTATCTTATCCTTTCTTCCTTTCTTCTTTCTTCTTCTTTTCTTATTTTTATCGTTTATCCTTCACTATCTTCTTCTTCCGCCTTTTCTCGTTCATCTTCACGTCTTTCTGCTTCTTCCTTTATTTCCCTCATTTATCTTCACGTCTTTCTTCTTTCCTTCTCCTTCTTCGATTAGAATGATAGAATTAAAATATAATAAATCTATATTTAGGCCAGGTTGTAGGATTTGCGAGATGCCAGTTGGTTAGTACTGTATTGATGAAAAAAGAATGCAGTTTGGCCTACGCAGAATAGGAAATCCTGATTAAAGTAAATAATGATGACATGCAAACTTTTTTAAGATATCGAAACTGCAGTTTGTGTAAAAATAACTGAAACCGGTATCGTGCGTCATCAATACATGGAGGAAGTGAGTGGGAAACATTGCCAATCGCAGAAATAGTTAGACCTCCCTATCAGTTTATGAAATTAGTCACTTAGTCCTATGTCCCTATGTACAAAAGAAATTAATATATATCTTCTTTAAAAATTATCTAAAGTGACTTATAAAAATATATAAGTATCTAACATTTGTTTTTTTTTTTTATTTGTTTGTTTCTTATTCTTTTCCTCTGCACATTTAAATGTACACAAATTGAAATTGAGTCATGAGTGACGAAGTGGATGGTGTAACTTTATTGTGTCGTTATTGAAGATAAAAAATTTTAAAAAATAGTTAATTATAAACATGAATAAGTTCACAGTAGTTAATTACTTTGAAGGTTCAATCATAGTATCAGGTGTTGATGGCCGGTACCGTGCTGAAGCAATAATATAAGCAATCGAAGTACGGTAGCATATATGATTCGTTAAACAGCTGCTTTAAAAGAATACCCTGTGTCGTTCAACATTTATAGGTCAAAGGAAGTTATACTAAGTAAGTTGGTATGCAATGAAGTAAACAAAATACAGAAATAAACAAAAATTGATCAAATTTTAACAAGAGTAGGCCTAGGTCTATATTTGGTTTTATCGACATGGACATGCAACACGTGTTTGAATTAATTTAAGCATAGTAGTTTCAAGTTAGAAACATAATGTTCAAAGGGAGAGGACATTTTTGTGCCGTTACAGTATTATTTATCTCGTATCCCATCTGTGTCCTTAGAAAAAAAAACCTGTAAATTTTAACTTTAGATAACCACAGGTAACAACAGGTGATATGTTTGCGTTTCCGGAATTTATTGCCTGTTGTCCTTTGAAGAAGTGAATGATGGGAAGTACTTGGTTGTAGCCTAATCATGAATGCCTGTTGTTGTGCCTGGGTTCATTCAGATCAGTCGAAGACCTGACCATCACCTTTACCAGCCCAAGGACTTCTGTATTGTACCTCCCTCCCTAGTCAGCCCCAGTGTGAAATCAAATGACATCTTACTAAATATAGTCGGTATGTCTTCGAGTTCAAATCCCGATGGGGTCAACGTTTTACCAATTATCCACTATAACAACTCCCTGATGGAGGGGGAAACTCCATACCAAATTCATTAGCGGGGATATAAATGCAGTTGGTGATTGGTGGTAGTGGTGCGTGTAACGGTGTGTGTGTGTGTGTGTATGTGTGTGGTTTTTGAATCGAATGCTTTTTCTTCTATTCCATAACTAGTGTCCATTCGAAACGGTGAATACAAGTACTTTTGAAATACGTTATATCGTCCATTCAATAGCATTGCACGTCAGGAGCTGTAGAGGCTCTGTGGTCCCCAGCCTGGTCCCCAGTAATCACCCTAGGTCCCGGGTTCAACCCTTTTAAGCTGGGTGGGGGGAGGGAGGGAGTTCCAATTTGTTGAGACCAGTGGTGGGCCGACAATATTTGTGTACTCTCATTTTCTTTTATAACGGTAAATTCGAAATAGAAGGGGCCAGGGAACAACTTCCACAGATAGGGGAAGATACCACCTCAGCCCCACCAAGGTTGGGGCTGAGGCAAGAAAGCAAGAAAATTTATGATTATGCACCTCTAGATGATCAGAAATGGCATTTTCAGACTGAAATTTGAATTTAATTTTCTTTTCTTCTCCTTTCTTTCTTGTAGAATTTTGAAGAAAAAAAAAAACCGGCACTCCAGGTTCCCCTACCCAGCCAATAGAAATTTTCCTACCACAAAAATATCCTCTCACCAGTGGTTGGGGTTGAGGTGAGCACATTTTTAACATAGATACGGTACCACTACAGTCCTGGAAATTGCACTTTCATATTCAGAAATAAGTTTTCAAAGCATGTTTTCAACAGAATAACATGCCCCGAGCCTGCTGCTGCCTCAAGCGGTTAGACATCGCATCACATCAGATCAGCACTTAATCCATTGTCCCCATTAGTCTACCCTTCCCATGCCAATACCCTACGCCACTAGATACAGTGAGCTACATTCAGAAAAAGCCACACTCTTGTAAACATTGCTAGAGTAGGGGTGCCTATGATGTTTTTCTAAACAGAAAAACTTTTTCTAAAAATCGGCCGGAAAATTATTTATTTTCAGCAATGTTTCGCGGGTCGGATAAAAATTTTTGGAGGTCCGGATTTGGTCCGCGGGCGGAGCCAGGGGTTGAATATCGGGGCTCTAGGTCCTATGAACAATTAGGTTCGGTACCTTACTTTAAATACGGTAGTTACTTCATAGTAAGGCATGATGGGGTGGAAAAATTCCAGGCAAGAGAAGCAGAGGAATGCTAAGATATAGATGGGATAAACACTATAGGAGGATCTTGGTTCGATGGAGAAGGCGACAAGGAATGCACAGAACAGACATTGGTACCATGTTGCTATGAAACTACGCTTTGATGAGAGTACGCTGTATCACTTTGAAATACAATAGTCCTATACAAAGGAGTGGATTCCGTCGACAAAACCCAACAGTCCGAAATCATCTATGAAATCATGATGAAACTCATTGATATCAGTTTTTGGACATAATTTTTTAATGAATTAAGCGAACAAGAGAGATGGAGTTCCAGTCGGAGAAAACTGATGAATGAGTAGAGCGCATCATGCAACATTTAGCCAAAAGAAATTACAAACACACGCAGCATGGGATAGTCAGGACTGAATGGAATGTAGGTAAAAATGGCCCCGGTAAAAATTGCCCAGAAAAAAAAGGCCCCGGCAAAAATGGCCTCAGTAAAAATGGCCCCAAAAGACAAGTAGGTAAAAATGGCCCCAATGAAAAAGCAATAGAAATGATACTTTTTTAAATCTTCAAATATTTAAGTACTGTAATAAGCAAGAATTGAATCAATAAATAAAAAATGGCCCTCAATTATAAAATTCAAAAAATAAAAAATCGTTTTTCCTTTTAAATTAAAATAAATTTATGTGATTTTTTTTTAAATTTCTCTAAGTATTTGTTTTTTAACAAATACAGTTACACAACAGATGCGCAAATAATGTACTGAGAGATTATGGAAAACAATGGCCATTGAATAACATATTTTAGTAGTAGAAATAAAAATTTTAAAAACGTTATTCCACTATTACAAAGTAGAGGAATGACATACATACAGTACTTCAACTACCAAAATATGCAACTCATAGATAACCACAAACTTCACTTTTG